CCCCCCCTCAGGCTTCACATCGGTAAAGGAGTCCAGCTGGAGTGCAAAGGAGAGGGAGACGTGTGGGTGCGATGCCTCAGCGACCACGCAGTATTTGTCCAGAGTTACTACCTGGACCGAGAGGCGGGCCGAGCCCCGGGAGACGCCGTTCACAAGATCTACCCCAGCGCGTACATCAAGGTGAGGTCGCCGGCTTTCCTCCGTCGCCATGCCGAACTTTGTGAGTCTGCAACACGAGCACTCAGAGCGCCGCCCCGTCCCTCCAGGTGTTCGATCTCCGTCAGTGCCACAGACAGATGCAGCAGCAGGCCGCCACGGCTCAGGCGGCGGCCGCCGCTCAAGCGGCCGCCGTGGCGGGGAACATACCTGGTCCTGGATCAGTCGGAGGAATCGCTCCGGCTATCAGTAAGAGACAGTAACTGCACATTTAGGCTTTTCTGTGACCGTTTTGTGGGCCAATACGGTCAAGTTGAAAGCAACGGAGAGCCACAGAATTTAGATGTTTTTTTTTTTTTTTGTTTTTTTTTTATTAAAGTTAATTAAAAGTAAATGATATTCTGAATGACTGAGGTGTTTCTGTGAATGGACTGAATATGCTTTCTTAGAGAGTCTTGAAATTTTCTGAGAAGTGCAGCGCTCTCTCAAACTATTTTGTGTTTTAATGTCGCCCCTCACCCTGCCCTTCTCTCCCCTCTCCTCTCCTCTCAGGTCTCTCTGCCGCCGCCGGCATCGGGGTCGATGACCTCCGACGGCTCTGCATTCTCAGGATGAGCTTTGTTAAAGGCTGGGGTCCCGACTACCCCCGGCAGAGCATCAAGGAGACCCCTTGCTGGATCGAAATCCACCTGCACCGAGCCCTGCAGCTCCTGGACGAGGTCCTTCACACCATGCCCATCGCTGACCCCCAGCCTCTGGACTGAGACCCTCCAGCAGCAGGTCCTCACCCGAACACACACGGCCAGTGACTAGTCTTCCTCAGTGAACTCCAGACTGTAAAAAAAATTAAAAAATATATATATAAATGTTTTCAGGTGTGTCCGAGGCGTCGCGTTGCACTAAGGCTCCATCTGTTGCTCACGGCAACAAGAGCCAAAGCCATCTATTAAAACTACGTGCTCACGTTTAATGCATGGCTTCAACTGTAGGACTTTGTAGAAACTGTACACCGACACGCACATAAAGGACACCAGCTACTGACGACCTACGACCTCACCGAACCGTCGCGGAGCTGCGTGGGTTTTACCCCAGGACGGCTTCAGACCCGCAGCTGCAGGTGGGACGGTCACGCCGATCACTTCCTGGCAGCCGGAAGCGTCCGGGACAGGATGTGGGAGATCGCCGCAGCAATCAAAAGAGAGCCGCCGTTATCTGATGCAGAGTTTCAGCCGCGGGAGCCGAGACGTGTCTGAACATGTCCAGGTCAGCTGTTGTCAAACGTTTTGTTTTTGTTTTTTGTTTTTGTGAAGATAAACTTCTCTGTGCTGGGAAGACGAGTCTCTGTTTCCATCGTCTCTGTTAAACAAGATAAGTGACAAAGAGCTGAACTCCTGCTCTGTGCGCACAAAATCAGTGGCTTGCGAAAGTATTCATGTTTAAAATCGTTGATTTAAAATTTTTCTTTTTCTTTTACTTTTTGTTAGGTTACGATCACATTTTTATTTCATCTGGGTATTTTGTGTCTTGGAGTAATGCGATGTTTTCTACATTGTTTTTTTTTTTTTAATTCACAGGAAAAGTTAAACATTCGTAATGCATGTGTATTAGGACCCCTGATGAGATACTTTGACTAGGCCATTTTAAAACATGAATACGCTTTGATTCCCATCAGTTTTGCAGTCACTGCTAGAGATGAGCCTTCCCACAGCATGATGATGCCACCGCCATGCCTCACAGTGGGGATGGAGGTTCTCCCACCTCGCGGCCTTTAGGCTGTTGACTCAGTTTGGTTTCGGTTTCACCTGAACAAAGCAACTTCTTTCACAAACATGGCTCGCTGCAGACTGCGAAAAGGCCTTCTCTTAGTAATGGCTTTCTTCTTGCCGCTCTTCCTCATAGACCAGATTTGTGAAGAGACAGATTAACTTGTCTGAACTGTGGATCTCTGCAGATCATCCAAAGAGTTTCTCTGATTATTGCTCTCCTTGCAGGGCTTCTCTCATGACGTCGTCGGCCTTGTCCGGGTTTCCAGGTGTCATCTTTCCATTTAAAAAAAAAAAAAAAAAAAATGGATTGAGCTCTGTTGGATGGGAATATCTTTGGCTGTTTTGTAACCTAATCCTGCTTTAAGCTTCATCGCTGAGCCGTTTGCTGCTGCGTTGCTTGGTCGACTTCTGAGGGGGATTTCATTAAAACGCGTTGGAGTAAAAAGGGGCTTGAATGCAAATGCTTTAAGTCTTCTGATTTTTATTTATTTCCACAGTCATTATGCACCACATTACATGTGATCACGATTAATTTTATTGGAGTTTGCGGTCGCAGCAGGAAAAAATGTGGTGTCGATACTTTGGCAGGGCTGTAATTTTCCAGCAGGCAGCCTGTGTCACTCCTGAGTCAAAATCCCTCAAAAGAACTCCTGACCACATGTAAACCCGGTACTTCTCACCCTGCCGACTCTTAGTCACGGATGCAAATTTTTTTTTTTTTTTTTTTTAAAAAAAGCTTCTGTTTTATGGCACCCCAGAGAATCGGCTATTTACCCTCTCAATGTGGAAGTGATGCAATCAGGAGAGAAGAGACTGATGTTGATCTCTCAGTACAAAGATTGAGGTTTATCTGTGTTTTTGGTGACCAGAAGTGACAATTTCTGAGAACAAAAACAGTCTTTTGTAAACATTAAACAGAGGAAAGTCCAGGAAGTCCTGATCTTAATCTGTTTTCAGTCGTATCTGACACAAAGGTTGGAGGTCCTGACAAAAGCGAGCTGCACTCCTCCTTCATACTTTATCCAGGTTTACTGTGTGAAGTTTGACAGAAAAACAATACGTGGATTTATAGCCTGTGCTCAACCTGAGTTACATTTTTTTTCCCTACTTTTTCTGATATGATTTTTTTTTTTTTTTGTTCATTTGTAGCACTTTACCTTTGACTAAAGGAGCGAATAGGTCAGTTCAGAGCAAGTCACAGATTACAAACAGAACATTGGATTCAGATCGTACAATAGTCGAACACTAAGCCACCTTTTTCAACAAAAACCCTGATTGCATTCATACTTTTTTCATTTTTTTTTCTGTTGTCCTCATAAATCCATGTAAATATCTTTGGTTTTCAAATGCATGTGTGAATGTATCCAGGTCAAACACTTTTCCCATTTAAGTTATCAAAGTTAAAGTCTGCTGTAGATCGGTGACGTTGCGCTCAGCAGGAGAGGCACATGAAGTCACATCCAGACCATGTTTGGCTTCTTCTTACTTTAAATTAAACATTAAAGCAAACACACCTTTGATCTGTGCTGATTAACATCCACATTTTACACAGGTTTTGGGGTCTAGCAGTTTAAAAGACGAGCAAGATGTTACTTCTTTTCGAAGGAAGATAAATGATTTCATTTAAAAACCTTTTGGCGAATTTTAGGCTTTTTTTAATTGTCAAAATATCAGTTTATTTTCATTTATCAAGGGCCAAAAATGCTGCAATTCGATGCATTAAGTGTAAATATTTGATCATTTAGATCATGATTAAAAATCTACATAAACATGTCATAAATGCATAATTAAATGAGGAAATAATTCATTTAAATACGCATTAATAGTTTCACAAAATATATAATTTTAGCATACAACAAATTACAGTTTTAACTGATTACAATTTGCTCAAATTTAATATTTAGTGGAAATGATCAGTGGCACTTTTGGTCCTGGATGTCTTCCATAATTCGCCGTGTTCCTTCTGACCAGCAGCGTTTTCGGTCACGTCGTTCAGAAAGCCCGTCGCTGTCCAGCCCCGATTGTTTACCCGGTGGAACTGCAGGAAGCGCCGTGTTTTCTGCTGAAAATTCATGCTGAATTAAATCCAAAAGTGTGCTTTTTAAAAAGTGGAAAATATATATATTTTTTTTTTGTTTTGCTTTTCTTTTTTTTTTTTTTTTTACATGATTTGCAGTTATTGTAGCAGCCGAAAGCCGGCTTGGGTGAGTAAATGTTGACTACTATTTCAGATCTAACTGTACCTGTTTTTCTCATGTGAGAAATTAAATACGGACTGCTTTTCTCCATTTGGTGTCCTGTTGGGTTTTGTCATTGAGCCAGTAGCTCCAAAACTAATTCTTCATCAGAATGTGGATTTTATATTAAAGCTCCAGCTGAAGTGACACCCATTAAATTGAATGCATCAATCTGTATTTCATAACAGCCAGCTGAGTGAACATTATGGTGTTTATGTTCCTTAGACAATTATATAAAAAGGGAGGGGTAGGGGGGGTTGTTTTGCTATGACAACCGTGGGAGAGTGGGAGAAATGTCACTAAAAGCAGCCCGTCCAGACACACACTCGTGTGTGTGCGAAAGAAAGGTTGAACTGACATCCCCCTGAATGTATGTTCAGTCAGAAAGACCCTGTTGTCACCATGTTGCTGCAGATTTATGAAGAAACATCCCATCATTCTTGATGAGCTCTTAACAGAATACATGTAGACTTGTTGCAGTAACTAAGGTTAAAGTCTAAACAGGCTCTGCTAAAACAAGCCCAGAGATTTAATTGAATGCTGCCATTTTGTTCTCGATTCATGTTCTGCGAAGAAAAGTGGCAGAAGACTTCCTGGAGCTCTGCAATTAAATTCTTATGAAGTAAGGGAGAGATTTGCTCTCATTGCCTCACATAATAAATATATATATATATATATATATAAGCATTAACACAGACGGCAGAATTCGATTCAAGCGAGTTTCTGAGAGCCTCCACTTTGGCTTGCTTGAGAATTTAATCGTTCAAATGTTGTGTTGTAGTAATGTGCAACTTTGCAGTTGCATTTTAACAATTGAACACAAACGTTCATCTGTTTTAGTACCTCAATCCAAAAGGCAGACTTCAATCAATTACACAGTTACATATTTGAAATAATCAATGACAAATTTGTAATAATTTTAAAGATTTTTTTTTTTCAGAATCAGATTAACAGCTTTATTTATTTATTGGTCAAGTTTGTGTGCAGTTAAAAATTAACCATGAAAATTTTGAAATTTGCTTTTATGGCTATTTTAGGGCAAAGCGTGGAGAAATGTCTCCTGGTCCAAACTTTCTTCCTTCTATTTTCTAAACTTATTGCGCTAATAAATGCAATAATTAAAAAAAATGGTCAACTACAAGTTAAACTGCACATTTGTGTTACATTAGCTGTAAGCCACCATCAATATGATCAGAAATAAAGTGAAGTATATAACAATGCAATGGCAAATATACAGTTATATAATGGTAAATAAAAACTGAAATATAAGCATTTCAAGTTTTGAAGTGAATTTCAAAACGCTCACCTCTGCAATGAAAGTGTATTCTGATTTACTGAGATGCACCGTTTCACATTCACTGTAGTGTGTCTGCTAATGTGTACAAGAAAAAATGTTATGTAGAATAAAATATTTAAATTCTCATTTTGAAAAAGGACATTTTGTAACATCATGGGTCCAACCTACGAGAAGCAGGGAGCCAGTCCTCTTCTTCTATGAACTAACAGTATTTTACTCTCGTTTTAGTAACACTTACTGAGACTTTTCTTTTGAATCGATGTTGGAAGATGAGGCGCTCACTGAGGTGACAGTTTAGTGGTCAGGCTCAGGCTCTTCACCAGCTGTAGCTGCAGTTCAAACATTCACGTCTCAAATCTGAGGTTTCTCCACATTTTCTTAACGTCTTTTTTTTTAAAGAAATTCTTATTTTCTCTTTCACTATTAGTTTCTTCTTTTTGCAGTAAATTCAAGACATAAGATGTAAGATTTAGGAAGGCGCAACTAGATAGACCTAGATGTGAGGACAGAAATAAATTGATAGAGGGAGATGGAATAGATGGAAGGATAAATTGACATGGTTACTTAGATGGATGAAAGCTCAGATCAGCAAACATGGACAGAAAAACTGATGGAAAATGGAAAGATGACTAAAGGGACATGAGGAAAATACTGACTGGCAGGAAGGATGGATGAGCCGAATGAAAAAGATGGATGGACAGATGGACAAAAGGATGAATTGGTGGATAATTGGATATTCAGACTAATGAAGACGTAGACGGATGTCGGCAAGTTGTAGTCGTGTGAACCGACCAAATTACAACCCGCTTCAACAGAAACAAAACGGATGTTGTTGAATCTCATTGATTAAACAAACTGGAGCTCAGAGAGAGAATAAAGTCTGGAAACAACTTTATGGACAATGCAGTTTCTTCAGGTAGACCGCAAAGTCAAAGATCTGACTCAACATTTCTGCACTCTGTGAAGCAGGTAATTCTTCTGTTTAATCCCGGTTTAATCCCAACAATTTAAACACAACCGCAGCCGCCGCTGGGATTTCCAGTTACCCGGAGCCACAACATGACTACAAGGAACAAAAAAAAAAAAGAAAGAAAGGATGACAGGAATCTGAAGTGGCTTAAAATGAAACCGTCTTTATTACGTAACTTTAATATCAGAAAAATAAAACTCTTAAAATTCTCTTTACAGCAAATATATAATATCAGTGCTTTGGCCGCAATAACTTAAAAGGCCATTATAAAATATAGTCTGCTTTAAACTCCTGACTTAATTTGAAGAATTTATATGCCTTAAGACTCCTCCTACACATATACATAACAAAAGTGTAGTAAAATTAGCAAATACTTTGAACCGTTGGTACAGCTTTGAACAATATGCATTAGAGATAGATAATCGAAGATACATCTTAATAGTATACCGTTCTTAATTTTGGTGGTGTACAGACATGACAGGCAGCTTGAATCCTTGGCCTTTTTACAGTTGCAGTGAAGATCCACAATGGCGGTAAATGATGAAGACATGCTCGTGATGCACATTCCACTTTCAACTAGGTTTAACGGCAGCTATCAATACTATTAATCATCATCAATACTGTAAACTACTAACTAGACTACAAGCAGATAGCACTGAGACGCTCTCCTCTGCAACATCATCTGGATTTCCAGCTCTTCATTCGCTTAAAATCACTCAAAAAAAAAGAAGTAAAAATAGAAACAAATTTAAAATATTATTGTAAACATTTTGATATAGATATATTTATGTATATACGAAATGTAACAAAATAAAAATAAGTTCTGTATATTTCTCAGTCATTAACAGTAATTTTTATACAATACATACACAAAGAAAAAAAAAAAAAAAAAAACACAATTGGTTCATGTCGATAATCCGAGGGCCGGTCGTGTATTGCATTCCCTCAGGCGGAAAGAAAAACAGTAATAAAAAGATCAATCCTTTTGAAGAGATGAGAGAATTAAAATAACTGGGACGGATAAAAGAGAAGACGTACGCAGGTGAGGTTGGATTTTTTTTTTCCTTTCTTCTTTTTCCTTTTTGCACTTTTGGGTCTTGTTTGGTTCCGTTTCCTAACAAAAGTCCACCCACCCGCGAAGGAGAGGATGCAGAGGAGTTTAGGTTGAAACGACGTGATGGGTCCCAAATACTGATCACAGTTGGAATGCTGGAGGGACTGCAGTCCAACGTCCACAAAAACAAAAAGCAAGCAACAGGATTGACCTTATGTAGTGAAATCGTTCCAGCTGCTCCTCCTCTTCCTCCTCCCCCAACCCGCCTTCAAAATGTCTGAACTGATTCAGTCCTACAGGAATCTATAGACACAGGTGTTTAAAGCTGATACTTGAGATGATTTCCACATACGTACCGTTCTGAGAAACAAGAAATCAATCCATGCATGGAAGAAGTGAGATGAGGTGTTTTGTCCTAACTGCTCAATAGTGTGTCAAGTATGTGCTTTGTAGTGCACAAAATTGTAGGGAAAAAAAACAAAACAAAAAACTAGAAAATCTTTATGTTCAGAGAGAGGTAAATGGAGATTAGCCCCGATTGAAATCCAACAGAAAACACACTTTTGAGTGTTAGCAAGTCTTAAAAGTTGTCACATTTTGTCACATTAAACCCTAAAATATTTTATTGGGATTCTCAGGGAAAAACCAACAAAGTCGTACAGAATTGTAAAGTGGAAGGAATTTGCATTCAGCCCCCTTCGGTCAGATACCCCTAAATAAAAACCAGTGTGATCAACCAGAAGGCAATTAATCAGCTAATGAATTGCACTTAAATCTTAATCCAAACAAAGCTGTTCTGCAAAGGCTCCAGATGTTTGCTGGGAACCAGGGAACACGGCAGACAGACTTTAAGAAAATGTGAAAAACCGTAAAACAGAAGCTCAGTTCGGCAGACAGACCAGACAGGAAGCAGGTAGAACAAGGTGAGCCCGTCTAACGAGCAAGAAGTTTCTGGCCCAAATACAACGGGTGGAAAAAACACCTCGAGACAACCATGAACCATGGTAACAACAGCATCATGATGTGGTTGTGCTTTTTCTTCAACAGGGACATAGAATTTGATCTGAAATACATGAAGCTAAAAAAAAAAAAACAGTAAAAAAAAACAAAACCTGTTAGCAGCTGCTGAATATTGAAACTGCAGCACAGGTTCACCTTCCAGCAGGACAATAACACGAAACATCCACAATGGTTGGGATTATATTATGAAATATATCTTCATGTGTTAGAAAGGCACAGAATCCAACTGGGAATCTGGGATAATGGCTGATAATTGAATGAGTTTGTTTTTGCTGCAAATTTCAGTCACTTTTCAGCTGCAAAGTCTTCCAAGTGCTGACTGTAGAGGGCTGAATGCAAATACTTTGTATAAACTATGATCTTCACAACTGTACGCTACTTTATGTCGGTCTTTCACAAATACAAAATTTTAATGAAATAAATTTAAATTTGTGGATGTTATTGTGACAAAATGTGAGAAGTTTCCATAGTTACGAACGCTTTTGTATGGCGACTGTATCGGAGCTCTGTGCTTACACTGTTTTTATAGAGTTGTATCTGCCTGCTTCTTCTGAACTGGTTCAAATACTGAGATGATTTTTGCATAGGCCGGGCAGATGAGGTGCAAAAAAAAAAAAAAAAGCAGTGGATGGCCTTCATCTCTGTTTCACATCTCAGTGGAATAAAGTGGACAGCTGCAGGATGGAGCGGTCCAAGTAAAAAAAAAAAATAAAAAAAATCAACATTCAAGTTAAAGAGAAGATTCTCGAGATGGCTTTAAAAACAGGAAATAAAAACTTGTACAACAAAAGCAGCCAGTTTGTACTTCACTGGGATTTGTTCAAGATTACAGCTGGAAACATCTGCCAGTTTTGATCCCAAGTGATACTTTTTGTTAAGAATGACGAGCCTGAATTAAAAAACAAAACAAAACGACGATACCAGAGAGGAGGAATGTTACAAAGATGTGCCTAGCCTTCTAGGTGAAAACCAACGTATGGTTTCCCCATGTGAAGATGTAAACAAAAACTATGACAAGAGGAAAGAAAAAGTATAAAAACAATCAATTCTACCTTTGTTTCATCGAGATGCCACTTCCGCCTGTCAGCTTGTGTTTTTTTTTTTTTTCGAAGCGGGATATTGGGGTTTTATTTTGGAGATAGTGTGGTGATGGTAATTATAGGCTTCCCAAATAAAAAAAGGCCACAAGTTTGTTTGAAAACAGAGCAACACCGTGTCAGCTGAAACCACTCGTCTCCTTCCTTCACGCTTGGGAATTAGGCACGAGTTTACCGTAAACTGGTTGAAGTGTAACGGGAAAGCAAAGCGGCGATGCTGAAGAAGCAAAACGTCCTCGTGGTCTAAGGATCAAAAATATGATTGCTTATGGAGTGTGAAAACTTTCCAGTTATAGGTTTGACCCACTTGGTTTTAAAAACCCTCCTTGGGAGTGTTTTCAGGCCTATGAAAAATTTATTGATTTACAATTTGGACGTAAACAGTACCCTTTTGAAGGAGCCGGAAATGTGAGAAACTTGCCTGGATGCCTCCCTTCCTGCTGCACTCACCGAGTAATTACACGGCTGGCTGATATGAAGTCTTACTGCGAGTGAACATGCACTTCACTTTCAAAGATTCGTCTGGGATAAAATGTCTGAAATGGCAAAAATGAAAAAATAAAGCGTTGGCCCTAAAGGCAAACATTTCTCTAATATTCTTTAAAGTAAAAAAATAAAATTGGAAGAGAAAAAAAAAATTGGATGAGAAAGAAAAATAAAGTTCCAACCCTCCCAATGCTACATAGAGGGCTTCTAACCCTCCCGTTATTCAATCAAGAAGACTTCACAATAGCAGGCACAAGAACGGGCTCAGCACCCTAACCCATGCCCTAAACACACACCCTTCCTACCCACTTCACCGACTCTCTGCACCTTTGTCAAATTAACACCAGCCTGGAGAAAGCTGGAGCGAGGAATTACCCAGACGCTGATTTGGGCTCTTGTTTTTAAAGTCCCACACATTAAGCTATCAGCCAATGTGTCAGGGGGAGGCTGACCCCTGAATCAGCCATCAAGGGGGAAAAAAAACATGGATTCAAACTAATCACATATTGCGCAGCTGAATGGCCTGCGTGGCCGGGGACAGGCACACGGGGCACATGGCCTCTGGGCCCTGGCAGATTTGTGTGGCACAATCGAAACAGAACAGGTTATGGCCGCAGGGAACCAAGGCAGCGATCACCTGGTTCTCCATGCACTGGATGCATATCTCCTGCACCCTCCCGGACGAGCCGAGCGCCGGCCGGTAGGAGAAGGAGGAGTCGGGGGGCGAAGAGGAGGTGGTGCTTTCGCTGGAGGAGGAGAAGGCCGAGCTGTAGGAGGGGATCCTGTGGGCGTCAAGGGTCCCGGCCGACCCGAAAGGCCTTCGGTGAACACGCTGGGCCTGAGGGTGCTCCAAGGCCTCGGTCCCAGAAAAGGTTGGAGAGAGGCGCGGGGTGCCAGGTTGGCTGGTCTGCAGAGATCAACAGAAGCAGTCTGTAGACAACCACAGCTATGAATCTAATAGAGCTGAAACTATTAATCTGATTAATCGATTATTGAAACAATCAGCTAATTTAGTAATCAATCGCAAACTGGAGTACACAGACTTCAGTTAGTAAAAATAAATCAATAAAATCATATGTTCAAAAACAGAACTTCTCAAGTTGCAGTTTTAGCTTTAGCTGGTTAAATTAAGTATATAATTTATTGCTATCCAATTAATCGGTTAATGTAAAAGGTACATTAATCAAATGATGAAGCATATACTAAAGGAATGTTATGTTGTTGCATTTTTTGGCAGTAAAATGTTTATTTGGCCGTTTAAAAAAGGAATTGAATTATCTGTTTACTTGTATTGTTGTTTTATGCATTTCTATAAATGTACACAAAAGGCTTATGATTAAATGAAAAGTCAGCAGAATGTGCCAAATTTTTTATCCGATTAATTGTCTAAATAATCAACAGAACAACTGATCAGTAAAATAATTGTCATTGGCAGCCCTAGAATCTAACTCGGGTGGAAGACCGGCTCGATGTCTGCAGAATAATTTACCTGGGACTGCAGGGAATCGAAGGCCTGAAGTGACGGCTGGTCCACGAAGGGGCTCCAGATGTGCGGTGGTGCAGCAGACTGCGAGGTATGGGCAGTGGAAATGGTTAAGGGCTCGAACCCTGAGGAGGACCCTCCGCCTCCCAGGCTGAAGAGGTCTTCAGACCCCACGCTGAGAAGGCCGTCGCCAAACCAGAAACTTGTGCTGCTGCTTGTACTGCTGTTGTTGTTGTTGTTGTTGTTGGCGTTGGCGTTGAAGGGGAAGGTTGGGCTGAAGTCCGCCATCCGGTTCCCGTTCCCGCCGCCGTAGAAAGAATCAGCCGAGCTGGAGCCGCTGCCCAGAGAGCTGGAGCTGTCGTTGCGGTAGGTGGAAGACATCCTGACGGCGCTGCTGATATTGCTATTGACCCGCTGAGAACCACTGATGCTGACCGGCAACAGGCTTCCACCGCTTGGCGACGAAGCGCCTGCGTGGAGCCACCCGGCCTCCCCCACACCGACGGGGTTCAGGGAGGTGTCGAAGCTGACGTCGGTCCCGTTGAATTGGAAATCGCTGTTATCCACGCCAGGGGCCTCGACGCCCCCGCAGCTGCCAGTGCGCAGGGCGATGTGCGCCTCGATTTCCTCCCTCGCCCGGTCGACGTTCTCTGGCATCCCCGTGACCTCAAACACCGGCTCTTTGTCCCGACTTGGCGTCACGATGTAGGTATGCGTCTGCTGCTGGATGCGCTTGATGGTCGCTCCTGGGGGAAATTACAGAGGACAGATTAAAATAAAAATTGATGGCATAAGTTTGACTCCATGAAGCCACCCCCAACTCAAAACACAAGGGGAAAAAAAACTTTATATTCTTAAGAGTCTTTGGGGTTAGAAATGTGTAATTCAGTGACCACAACCAGCTGGAACCGTTTCCAAGGCAGGGTGGATCGTCACCGTCACGGTTACACCAAGTTCTCGCTCTACCACGTTATTGGAGGAAACGTTTTTCCAATTCATCATCTTTTTGGTGAAGCTTTGCAAACTGTTCCCTGAGAAGGCTCAAAAGGTTCAATGGGTCACTATGGCCTCACACTTACGTTGATTGTAATGAGTGGCCATTTGAGCATCTGTTCCCTTTTCCTCATCTCAAACCAGTCTGCTTATTCCCCTCCAACACCACTGCAGAGGGGAATTAGCATTTTTCTAACAACTAGATTTTAATTTTAATTTTCAAGCTGGAGAAAGAAAGTTTGGTTTATCCATTTGCTACTGAATGAAAACATATAAACCAAAATTAAGATTAATAAAAAATAAAAAAAAGTTAAAAGTAAGTAAAACGAATTAAAAGCCAAAAGTGATTTAAAACTAAAAAGGTAAAAATTAATGTACCACATAATTTTTTTTAAATTACCGAAAGAACACCATCTGCCTAGTAGGACAAAAAGTGTGAAGCATTAATGATGTGCAGACGTCTGGACGAAAAACAGAGGTGTCATAAAATGCAGCTGGAGAAGCTGGGAAAACCACAAGCAAAGCAACACCAAAATTCTGCAAAAAGCCCTATACATTCAGTAATTACTCTCCTTCAGATGGCGGTGATGATTATAGCAACCCCTGGCTTTCAAGAAACCCAGCTGTGAAATAATTACAGCTTTTAACTGTAAGTTGCTCTGATGACTCACCTGGCTGAAGTGCAAAACACTAAAATCCAGTCTGAGGACAGAAGGCTTTTAAAAGGGCAACACTAAATAAAGGCAAATGAACAGATGTCTTGAAATATAGCCAAAACACTTCTGTGTATTCCCCAAGCTAGAAAAAATAAGCAACTTTTGGACGTTTTACTGTTCTTATCTTGTATATTTAGCTTACTGAGAATAGTTTAGAGCAGAGTTTCCCAATCCTGGTCCTCAAGGCAAACTGGCCTGCATGTTTTAGATGTTTCTCTGCTTTAATTCATCTGATTCAGCTGAATAAAGTTCAGAAAACACCTGTTAATCTGCCATCAATTGAAATCAGCTGGGCTGAAGTAAGAAAACACCGAGGACATGCAGGGCAGTGTGCCTTGAGGACCAAGATTAGGAAACACTGGTTTATAGATTAATTTCAGAAATAAACTCAAGAGATTTTGAGAATAATGATGTTCAAGGGAGTGAAAGACAATTGAAGAAATCAAAGAACTTCAAAGGGAGGATAGCTATGAGCTTGCAGGTCACTGAGTTTTCTAATACTTGGAAACTAGCTGCATAAACTGATTATCTCATGCTGTTTCCTAGCACATATAAACGGGTTATTTTCAGGAAGAAAGGGAATTGAGATAAGCTTTTATTTGAGGGGGGAAAAAGACTTGCTTGTTTTTCAATACTCAAGCAAAAAAAAAGTAGCAGAACAGATGCAGTTGGTTATACTTTGATTCTTTTTACAACATGATCTCAAGTAAATGGAGCACAGAAACATTTATGGGAGCAGCTCACCTTTGGGGCCCACGACCAGACCGACGACGCGATATGGGACGCGCACCTGATGGGGCAAAAAAAGAAAAAGAAAACAACACATTAACATTACCACCTTTTTAGTGTAACCAGCTTTTAAAACGACAGCGGAAGAGAACAACGGCATCAACAGGTGAATGCAAGCTGACCTGAATGGTTGTCTGCCCAGGTAAAGCAGGGGCCCCTAAGCCAGTCACAGCAGACAGAGGGCCCGTCTTGTTCCGGGAGGCTCGGATCAGGGAAAAGTGCTCGGCTGCAGACAGGATCTCTCTCTTCGCCATGGCTACATCTTCTTTGCGCCCCGTCACGACGAAGACGGGTTGCTCTCCCCTCACTGGCGTCTTTATGTAGGTGTTTGTTTTGGCTCGAAGTGCCTTGATCTTGCAGCCTGGAGGAACATCACAAGCACAAAAAAACTCCGATACAGCTTGTAAACTTATACTGATGTAAAGATCTATGGACAGTTTTAGTCAGGCAACTCTTGCTCGCTGTGGGGTTAATTCTGGGAGTTTTTTTCTATATATTTTCCAGCTTAGACCTCTAGATTTTATATCAACCATCAAAACTAGCAGTGTTAGTTTCTGTTTGACATTTTCTAGTCAACAAAACCAGTCAATGGCCGCACACAAACTGATGTCTGTTCATGTTTCTTATCTAAAAGACAAAAAGATTGGAAATTTTGGCTTTAAAAGGGCTAAAAAAAGAACTGAACATCGATATAGGGTGGGTTGTTATTGTGTCAGTTTTTAGTAAGGAAGAAAGGAAGGGAAGAAAATAAGAGGGAAACAAAGAAAGCAAAATAGGAAAGAACCAAAAGGCTAGGAAATAATACAGGAAAGGCAAGGAGAGAAAGGACAAGAAATGAATATGAAAGACATACTGAAGGAAAAAACAGGACAAAAAAGGGGAAGGATGTGAGGAATAAGAAAAGACAGATAGTAAAGAAGTAAATAAAACAGGAATAAGGAAAGAACAAAGCAAGGAAATAAAAGAGAAAATAGCAGAAAAGGAATAAGGTATCTTAATATAAACATTTTACAACCCTCTATTTTATGTTTTCATACTTGTTCAGACCTGGAGAACACTCAGATGAAATCCCCTACTTTTCCAGGCTGCATAAGAGTTTTAGGGCTACAAGTACAAGATTTCTGAATGGTAAATTGCCTATGGGTGAGCTTTGTTTTAGCTGTGTCCAGTCTACTTTCCAGTCATTATTTCCACATCCAAGTAGCTGGGCTTATGAATTAAATATTCCTTTTAGCAGTGGGTGAGAGTCCAACATTATTACCAGAGCCATTTCCTGTTGTTGTCAACACCAACCACCCTCCCCCACCTGATCTAAAACACTACATAACACTCACACGACCAGTTTAATCTATATGAAGATTATGTAAAGCCCTACATAGAGGAAAATGACATTTTTTATATTAAACACATATCTTAGGTTACAATTGTGAGACGTAAACCCCCAATAACGAGCAAAGAGCACGCTAAATCTTCAACAGCTGATGTGGCACAGCAATGGTGACCAGTTCTGTTCTTTCTTTTCTGCTCCGAGACAAAGCAAAGCCGGGTAGAAGCCCGACAGTATACGGCCGAGGATGTTCTTATAGTTCACAAAGCCCACAAAAATATTCAGAATATTAAGTAATTCGCAAGAACTGAAGTTTGGAGACAACAGGTTTACGGAAGAAGTTGATATGTAAACTTTTTTTAAAGGATGTTGGGTCAGGGTGGTGTTGACCCAGTTAGCAGTGGGAGCTAAGTTAGCTGGAGCTAACGCCAACCGCAGTAGCCAAACAACATTGAAGTTAGCGTGTGGTTTGAGGCTTCCAATGTGGATCTCGGCTAAAGGGTAATTCCACTGAATTCAAGAAATTATCATCCATCCATCCATTTTCTTTACACCCTTGTCCCTTAGTGGGGTCGGGAGGGTTGCTGGATTACCTTTTCCACATTAGGTCAAAGTTTAGAAATGCTTAAATTCTGAAATGGATAACACACTCAACATATTTTATAGTAAGACATATGCAAACCCTTACATTTAGATGTATTTTGTGTCTCTGACCATGACACAGGTCTAACTTAAAAACAGTATTTTATGGGATGGGTTTTGACCTAACAAACAGCTTGTGAATTTTAAGTTCCATCATAAAAATATATGTAATGTTTTGTTTTTTTTTTATTCTTTGCATTGTTCCGTCTTAAGTCTTGGAAAAAAAATGTTTCAGGATTTTAACTATAATCTTGTCCATATTCCTGCCTCAAATTCTGCATATTTGAAGCCGCAACACCTTTTAATACAGCAGACCAAAAAGCTAAAATATTGTTTTGAGTTTTTAAACTTCATGATTCCCGAATGGCAAATCCCGCGTAAAAATAAAACTAACTTTAGCTCAAGTTCGACTATTCTACAGATTTCACAGATTTGACCTACAGTGGACCAACAATGATGTACAGTCGTTAAATGCAGTGAAATACTCCGTTATTTAAGTGGAGAGTTGGCGGCTCCGAACCGGACGCTAACTTCAAAGTCGTAGCTAAAACAGTCGAACAATAAATCGGTTAACTTCTTTTAAAACTTTATATATTTTATTTCACGTAAAATCCTCCCCCCGACAAAGTTTTGAAGAAATACCATAAGGAGTTTATTGCTGGCTCATAAACAAACCAAACACCGGGAAAAACCCTTACCCTGCCTCCCCACAATCTCAGCGACATGCTCGGAGCTCGGTACAGCCACACATTCGGTCGTGTTGACGCTCTTTCTCCGGGTCAAAAGCGAATGCTCGGCCTCGAAGCCCGACTCTCCGTACACACCGGGTGGGAGCATCACCATGCTGGCCGCCGGGGGTAGCGCGCTGCCGCCGCCAACGCCACTATCATCCCGCTCGTCTCCGTTGTACAACAATACCGTCTCGACATGCGGCGGCTCCATCACTGTGCCGCTCTGCCCTGATGGGAGGTGCTGATTACGGTGGGCCTTTGCTAGCAACGCGCCCGAAGAAGTGGCCGCTATCCCTTCAAGCTCTTCGTCCTCTGCCGTTTTGTTCGCTTCATCCCCCGAGGGCGGCCGATGCAGCGGGAGAGGCTTCAAGTCAAGGACCGTACCGAGGATGCTGAAATGGGATACTGCAGGGAGCTGATGGTGAAAGGAAACACTCTCATCTGGTTGTTCAGGAGCCTGGCTCTGGCTGCCGTGGTGCTCGTCGAGGCCCATACCGGCGAAAGCATGCACGAGCGGCGGTGGGACCTCGGACTCTCCCTCATCGGCCTCCAACAAAGACGTGCTACTTGGCATCATGCAAAACCTACTTAATATTGCTGTTAAAATGAAGAGAATACAAGAAACGAGTGAAACCTGTTTTTGGTGAATAAAAAACTAATAATAAAATAAAAAAGCGACCAGCGCCTGTTAGTTGAAATGTGGGGGCTTTGTTTTGTCTTTTCAGTTCTCCATGCAGCCCTCCCTTCACTGTAATCTCGTACTAGGTATCGCGAGAGTTGGTTTTAGGGTCAACCTTGTCAATGCTGACAGCGAGACTAATTTAGCATGAATCATGCAGGGTGGTGGGTTGTGATTAGGTTATATTATATCATTATATCACTTTATAATTCATTTGCAGCTTACAACATTGTAATATATATTTAAGTCGTATTTATTGCACTACGACGTGTTAATTATTTTCTCTAAAATGCACCACTATTATTCTGTATTTAAATATCTGTTCTAATTAAATAATTTACATAGGGTTCTAAGCTGTCTTCAAACCTCAAATACTTTCTCATATTTGTTTTATTTCAACCTCAGTCTTCCACATCTTCGGTGGAAGACTGTTGACATATTTAAATTGTGCACTTCAAAAATCCAGCCTATCTGTCTGTCTGAACACAGTGACCCATGGGGGAGCCTGATGGGTTGATTAAAGAAAAACAAATGATAATAAATAAAAATAATAATTGTAAAAGTGCGTTAGATGCAAAAGGATGCATAACTTACCTTTGGTAATTATTATTTTTAGTTTTTAACATATTTATGCACTAAAATGACAGAAGACACAAAAAATATTAGCTACCTCAATGATTATTGGAGAGGGAGCATGGTTGGAATACTTCAAGTTTTCCCTTTTAGACTTTTAGACTCCATGAAGGATAAACACAAATGCTGGCAACTAGAACCAGATGGTTTACATTAGTTTTAATAGAATGCAGGACAAACATTGAAACAATTTGTAATTCATTAGAAAATAATATTTTAATAATTTAAAAAAACTATATGAACAACAAATTTGCTTAAGATGTTTTTTTTAGGTCTTCACAAAAAATGTTCTTGCATATCAGTGTTATTCATTTATTTTTATGTATTTTTGCTGTGTTCACACATCATTAAATGTGTTAGTTTTTGCTGGAGTCTGGAGTATTAAATGTAATTTGAAGATCCTTTGTTGTCCCACAGCGGGAAAATTAAGCTGCGCAGCAGCAAGTTAAAGGTGTGTGTGTGTGTGTGTGTGTATATATATATATATATATATATATATATATATATATATATATATATATATATATATATAAAATCACAATTCAAACTTAAATATCTATTCCCTCTCATGTTTTATTTAACAGTTGTAAATGGTAAATAATCGTCTCCTATTAGCATTTCACTTAATTGAAGGAACATATTATTAAAACAAAACCGAAGCGAGCAAAAATAAACAAACTCTACCGAGGTTTGTATGTACACAACTAAATTTAAAGTTTTATGAGTATCTTAAAATAACTGAAACTTTTTAAAAACAACTGAAGGAAATGGTGTAACAACTGTCAACTCGTTAAGAGCCACGTTGGAATATGTTGAGAAAGAAGATGCGTTCCGCTCGCCTGTCGGAAGACGTGGCCCATGTGACATCAATGACACGGCCCTATTAACATTTTTGACCAATGAGAGCGACAGACAGGCGGGTGTTTTACCGAAGACAGCCAATCTCCTCTCGCGTTTGTAATACGTCTTCGTAGCTTTAGTTACATCCGGGTGAAGACTTTAGGTGAGTCGGTAATTCAGACTGAGACCAAATACTGAATTAAAAACATGCCATTATTAAGTTTGTCTTGACTTGTTATTTATTTATATGTATAGAACTACGAGTTAGTCAATAATATAAAGTCCGTAAAAATTAGAAGCTGCTTTGCGCTTCTAAATTACGTAGCTCAGAAAAGTGGCTAGTTAGCTTTAAGCTAAGCGTTTACTGCTTATATCAACGTCCGGGTCTGTTTTAATCACCGTTAAAGTCCTGTATCTCCCAACGTTTTTACAGGTTTCGACATTATGTTTATATTTGGTTGTTTCTTCTTTGGTGTTTAGGTTATAGCTATTAGCTTTCGGTGTCCAGGATGTTCAGGTCGCTTCGGTTGCTGCTGCAGGTGCTATGGGCCCAGCTGCTCTGTGGGTGGGTAATGGGCTCCGAGCTAACCTTCGAGCTGCCCGACAACGCCAAACAGTGTTTCTACGAGGACATCATCACCGGCACCAAGTGCACGCTAGAGTTTCAGGTATTCAAAATTATAAAATTGTCTGTCATATAGCGGCTTTGTAATTGATTTCACCTGTAAGGTTTTTATTAGTATCTAATAATGGTATTTGGTTGAATTAACTAAATGCATAGAGAATTTCCATCACTGTGTGGTTTTGTTGTCTTTTCTAGGAGTAAAAACACAGCTAAACAGATGAGGTCTGAGCCTGTATGCCATAGATGGGACGAAAACACATAGTTGGTGGTAGTATCAGCCCCTTTAATGGCTTTATCCAGGAGGGAGATTAGTTTAAATACAGAAAGACGTGGCAAAGTATATAATCGATAAAGAATAGATGAAGTTGTTGGCAGCTACAACTAAGCCAATGGCCCCTTCCTGGAATGTGAAGAAGCTAAGCATGGTTAATTTGTTATTTTGCATTTTTAATCGATTGAAATGTGACAATGCACAGTGATAAACAAGGAAGCACCATATAAATGTGCTAAATCTTCTAAAAGTAAAAAAAAAAACAAAAAAAAAACCTATACCTAACAAAAAACACAAAATTAAACTCAAGAGTTGGCAAGAAAAAAATGAGACAAACGCATTCCAAAAAATGTAAGTAAATTATGAGATAAATTTCTCAACTGGAAAAGGTAGTGCATCTCTCAGGGCTACTAGGGGAAAATTTAAAGAATTTTAATGTGTGGTTTATGAGTGATGATAGGAGGAAGTGGGAGACGAATAGGTCGGGGTCTAGTCTGCAGTAAGATGGCCAGTAGTTTGATCTGTCATGTTAAAAAGAAAAAAGAAGCAGCAACAGCAGAGCCAAAAAGCAAAGGTTTGAGTTCATGAGTTTGTCTGTTTAAACTCTCACCTATCGGCATGAATCAAGAGCACGAACATTTGATTCCAGATTCAGATGGTTGAAATTAACTTCCTTAGTAGGGATTACTAAACTCTGCCTTGGAGTTAGGGCGAGGACTTCCGTCTCAGAATATTTTCAGAATTGGGATGCTCTGGATTGACAAAGTTTTGCCTTTAATCAGTGTGATGGGTTATTGAATGCAGAGAACACTCCTATTCTGTCATAGAATTGCTTTGGGGCATGATGAAGTCAGTATATGATTTATCACTTGCGCTGAATATGTAAAAACATTAAAGTTTCTATAAATCTAACAGATTTGTTTTGGACTGTCAATAGCGAGTCCTTGGTGTTAATCTATTAAACACAATACCTAATCAAATCACTATTGTGCACTAGGATGTTGCTTTTGTTTAAATAAAAAAAAAAAAAAGATTGTTCTTCTCTTTGTTATCCCAGGTTGTAACCGGTGGCCACTATGACGTAGACTGCCGCCTAGAGGACCCAGACGGCACTACACTTTACAAGGAGATGAAAAAGCAATACGACAGTTTTACCTTTACAGCTGCCAAGAATGGCACGTTCAAGTTCTGCTTCAGCAACGAGTTCTCCACTTTCACGCACAAGACCGTTTACTTTGATTTCCAAGTCGGTGATGATCCTCCCCTTTTCCCCAATGAGAACAGAGTCACTGCTCTCACTCAGGTGAGTGTTAGGTTTGATGATGTATAGCACAGATTGTAGCTATGTGGATAACACTGACAAACAGTAATAATTCACTACCACCATGTTAACATTAAACTTTGTCTGGTAGAAGCCTGTTTAGAAGAATAGACTGTTATCACAAGAATGATGACAACAGTCAGAATGTTTTTTTTTATCCTTATTATATTTTGAATTTATTGTTTTAAATTCTTTGTGTGCTTAGCTTTTTACTTTATGCTTTCTATATCATATTGATCACTCATGTTCAGCATTGTTTCAGCAGTGGTTGGTGTAAAGTGTTTTATAAATAAAGTTAATGATTATGATATTCTTATAACTGCATAATACCTTATTAAAATTAAATAAATATATTAAAGTAACGGCTGAGTTCTTCTTCAGCAGTGAACTTGAAAACCTAAAAGACGGAAACAAAAATCTTGCGATCTCCGTTCAGCCTCTTCACATTATTTGGGTTGGATTTCCTAAATTATTTGTGTCCGAATGTTCCTACAATGTGTTTTTGTTGTCAAAGGGGCAAATCCCCAGAAGCAGCTATGCCAGAGTTTTAAGTTCTTTCCTGTTTCAGTTTCAGCTTATTTTGAATATTGAAAAACATTTCTGTTCCAACTAAATCTCCTAAATCAATCTGCCTTCAATTCCTTTACTTTTACCAGATGGAATCAGCCTGTGTGTCTATCCACGAGGCCCTGAAGTCCGTCATAGACTACCAGACGCACTTCCGCCTCCGTGAGGCCCAGGGGCGCAGTCGGGCGGAGGACCTGAACACCCGTGTTGCCTTCTGGTCTATCGGAGAGGCCATTATCCTGCTTGTGGTCAGCATCAGCCAGGTGGTCCTGCTTAGAAGTTTCTTCTCGGACAAGAAGACCACCATGACAAGAGTTGGATCGTAACAGCATTTGGGCTGCAGGACCTGGTTCATCACTTTTTGTTTATATCTGAGCAGGTGTGCATAGCATAGAGTGAGTAAGAACAACAGTGCTGATGTGAAGGTTTGCTCATATCAAATATTCTGATATTTCCTTCTTGATTAGCACTGTGGTTCTTAAAAACTTTACGCAAATAACTCTTGTGGCAAAAATGGTGTTGAGGGGGGTTTAAGTAAGGTGACAGGAGGGGCTAGATGATGTGGTTATTAAAAACAGGTCAAACTGGCCTGTGGTTAAAACAGACCTTGAGTTGTTATGTTCTTGTTTTATTTGTGTTTTTGTTGTGTCCATCTTTTACCATTCACCATCTGCTGCATTTTTCAAAGTGCAGTTTGTAGAAAACAAATTTACTCAATGTTGGGATTTTATGGATATTTCTCCATATCTTCATCTCTGGAATCGCACTCGACGCAAAGGCGGCTCTCCACAAAGATTTTATTTGGTAAAATAAAACCTTTATTTTATTTTATTAAATGAATGTATTTGCTAATAAATAAATCTGTTTGCTATTAGAATAAACAGATTCATTTATTCCATTAGGCGAGTTAAAGAAAATTGTTTTGGTTATTGTCAGCTTTTCATTTTAAATAAGTCACTTGATAGGATGATGCCAGGGAAAGACCAACATTCATACTAATTTAACACTCCTCCTCAAAACTTTGGTTTGTATACTTGTCACACT